CATGTGGTCCGGTCACAAAAGGGCGACTAACTGCTACTAGCGTTATCGATGATCCTAAGAAACAATCCATCGTATATTTTTTTTGTAAAATGCGTTAAATTAGTGTTATTTGATGATGCTCACAAAGTATATAATGGAAACCATACTTTTAAATTTTCGATTGAAAAAGGCACTTACTCAAGCGCATTTAAGCGCCCAGTTAGACCGACTGTTTTGCCAGAAGCCATTTGAACATCATCCGTTTTTCGGTGCAATGGGTACTTTTTTAAAAGTACCGATTTAGCCTGTGTCTGAAGAAATACCTTGTATACTATAATAAACGTGCTAAAATGACAACTTTAAATTTCATTCGCTTGTGCTTGTTTGTTTTTTTTTTTCAAACTCTCAGCACAGAACACTTGAGATAAACAGGAGCTCGGGTAAGACTTAGCGAAGCGCGGCTTCAAAATCAAATTGTAGTGTGGAGGTTTATACAGCCGGAAGTTAGTCTACCCAGTGGGCGTTGGTGTCTCAGCTGTAGGTGACCAATTACCTGGGGTCTTTAACGTGCACCATGCATTAGTCATATACGACTACACGCCGGTGCGGTGCTCATCCAGATCGAAACGGGCAGGGGCGGGGATTGAACCCAGGATCCTAGTTCTGCAGCGCCCGCTTTCGCTCCACGTGCTCCGAGCTGGTGTGCGCTAGCTCACTCAGCCACCGATCCCCCGGCTCAGAAGCGTGGCTTGTGAACCAACCTTTAAGTAGCCCCTTGCCAATGTCCAGTTTATGTTTATGCTTATGCTTATAATTATGTGTGAAAAAGTTCAAGGTGCAATTTTATATGCCCTGGGTTTGGTTCACACTGCTCCCGGATTTTCTAAATTGTCTTAATATAGACGGGTTCAAATAAAAAGGCGTTTTTGCCCCCACGTGGATTGGCGAAGTTACTAGTAAAATAAATCACCTAGAAATTAACAGGTTTACTGTCGTACTATTGTGCTGGATTTACCCCACTTCAATATAACAAATAGACCACGCAGCACACCCATTACGTATCTTAGACTCTCTGGCGATTCTAAGAACTTAATTACACCTAATGTGTTGTTGTTCCAGGGCGTTAGTTAGGGCCACAGAACTTATGTTGGGAACCTAAATAGCCACACAAAAAACATTTCGGACTAATGTACTGTGCTATTTTAGACACATCACTGGGAAGTGTTAACGTGTTACCACTCTGTAACCATTCCGAGAACAAACTTCCTACGTCTTTGTATCTTTCTGCTCTGTTCCAGTGTTGGCACAATGGCAGTGATGGGAGCGTGGAAATATAACTCAGGCCCCAAAATGGTCATCTTGATTTTGAGCAGCGCCTCATATATATTAAAACAAAGCCGGTCGGCTCCGAGCAGTGGCAGCGGAGGGGAGAGGCCAAATAGCACGTGTAACTGCCGTGCGGTAGAGTCATTTAGGCGTTCAGCACAAACCTGTCGTGTAGTGAAGCGAACCATCTTTTCCGTAGGAGGCTCAATGATGTTGTCCCTGCAGCACCGACAGCAAGGTAGCTAAACGTCGTTGCCCGAAAAAGCTCAGGACCACCTGGTGGTTTTCAGCGGAATATTATCTCTTAGTTTTTCTATCATTCACCCGCAAACGAGTCGGCGCCAGATATTTCTGTGCGCGGGATGCACGGTAACAGCCAAGGCGCCAAGCTGCCGCCGAAGCAGACGGCCAAGCGCCCATACTTGGGTAGTAACTCAATTACTGTAATTGCATTACTGTAATTTAATTGCTTTCCTTTGTAATTTGTAATTGTAATTAATTACTTTTCGCTAAAAGGAATTCTAATGGTAATTTAATTACTTTCTAGGGTCAGTAATTGCAAATTCCAGGCAGAATTACCGTTCATTCTGCAAGACTTTGCGCCGCCGACGGAACCTCTCTGAAAGCCTCAGCGCTCGCGCAAGCGGCATAGCTCTCGGTGAAACACTACACACAGACAGAAACGCACGCACAACATAAATAGCGTCGCATTGTTTGTTGTTTTGTTGCTTACACTGCGGTCTGAGAGACAATGCTCTTTGGAGCCTACCTTAACAGCACTGTGTAGTGCCGTCTGCGGTGCGAGAAGAAAACAATAGTCTAAAAGTGCCAAAATATTGAAAGAACAAAAATTGAGCTTCAGCTTTCAGCCGAGGTTGGGAATTTTAATTGTCTCTGACGTTGCTTTTCTTTCTTTTTTGTTTCAGTTTTTTACGTCCCTCTTCCAGTATTGTCACATATATGCGTCTTTGTATTATGTTCAAGTTTATTTTATGTTGGTTTTACTTCGGATATCATTTGCAAAAGTACTTTGGAGACTGACCTCGCACCTGTGAAAATTTGCATGAATGATTCAAAGGCCCCGATGTGGTACTTATATATTTCTTAACCATTATAATTTCAACTCAATCTAAATAATTTACAATACCATAACGTTTGTGTGTGAATGTGGTCGTATTAGCGTCGTGTGGATTTTACTTTTATATAAGCTCTTGAAAAGTTTCCTGTATGACTAATTGTCACATTTTTATTTGCCTGGCTAACTAAAGTCTGTCAACCCAATTTGTTCTTTCACGATCTGGCGTCTTGAGCATATCAACTAATTTATTATTATTTATTAAAAATATAAGAACGTAGTACTTCATTTCGCCACACTGTCAAGTTCCATAATGAATTTAACAGAAATCATAAAAAGAAAGTACAATACGGAAAAGTTGGAGTAAGGTATGAACAAATATGTTGCATTCTATACAACTCGTTTAGAGTCATATGACCGAAGTAGGGTCGCTCTCAAAAATAAGTAATTGCAAAGTAATTTCATTACTTTTAAAAGTAATGTTTAATTGTACTTAATTACTTTTCACGTAGTAGTAATTGCAATTGTAGTTAAACTATTTTTGAAGCAAAGTAATTGTAAATGTAATTAAATTACATTTTGGGAGTAATTTACCCATGTATGCAAGCGCGGGCATGTGTTATCCGCGTTCGCACCTACACATTCCTGCCTGGCCGTGCTTGTTTTGTAGTTTTGGTATTTCGTCTCACAGAAACTCTTTTGAATCAGGGAGGTCACATTAACAAAAGTGTTCAACGTGTTTCATCAAAAAACATATATATGATACATATTCAATGATTATTTGAAAAAAAATGCTGCATGCTAGAAAAACTAAAAAAAAAAACGCTTGCATCCCGGCGTTTTTTAGACTTTCGTGCATGCGAGGGAAAGCATAGGTCCAAGACATTTCGTGAAGAAAAGACGACACTCATATTTTAACTTAATATGAGTCACTGGGTAGAGTAGTGCAGTTTTATTTAATTATTACACTTTAAATGAAGGTACTTACGAATGGTGTCTTTATAAACTTATTATCATCAAGAATGCATATTGTTAAACCAAATAAATACAAATTTAGTGAGTTAAAATTCTCCCGCCGGTTTCTTTCTCGATGTTACCACTGCCATTTATTGTTAGTCCTGAAGTTTTAAATACTTGACATCAGAGCACTTAAAGGGCAACTCCGCTCGATTTCGGAAATTTTGAGATAGTGGGTGATATACACGTGAAAAATGCTCCAAAACAACCCTAGAGCGTTTGTCTCGTGAAAACCAAATATTTTTCGTGCGATCTTGTCATTTACCATAATCGCAAACCGAAACCGAAACCTCGGCGCAGCCGGGCAACATTGTAGCCTCGACGTCAGGTGCATACGCACCCACGTGGGATACAAGGAATCACGTGATCTACCATGCTGACACGCTGACATGTGCTGCACAAACGTCCGTAGCGTCGTCGAAGCATCACCCGCCGTTCCTTTTCCCCGGCTCCTACTACAAAAGGCAAGTTTTTGCGCAGGTATACTTTGTAGGAATTTGTAGAAGCTGAAGACGAGAATATGTTGTGATGAGTCTGAGAAAGGAAAGAGTGTAGCAACGTTTATGGAAACTGATTTGTTGTGCTCATTTTTTGCTTGAGCAAAGACGTGGTGAGTTCGTTCGTAAGTTCGTTCGTTCTCTGCTATAAGAAACGATAAATAGTTCGCTGCATTCATCTAAGCTAATTACTTCGTTGGAGCGTTTCGTCAAAAAAATCTGGCCTCTTCATCGTGTAAGCTGACAATGACGAAAGATGTCGCGAAAGATCGCGGTCGCAAGCTATCGCGTTTAGCTTGAAAAAGTGTTGCACTATAAGTCGCTCCCATGTCAAACTGCGATGTCATCCGGCAGCCACTCGATTTTCTCGTTCTCGCGAAGCGGCCAAGAACGGAGAGAGCGGAATGTCTGACAGACGGTTTAGACTTTCAAAGGAGCCTTCGCTAAGCTTTTGCAATGCCCGATACAGCGCGCGTTTATGATATACAACAGTCTGCGTACGTACTGCGGGGTGCAATAGGTAAGGTAACAAATTGGTATATGTGCTTTAATTTTGTTAGCAGACTGTTCAGATACCGTCGCCGCACAAGTAACGGATTAGCTTGTAAGCAATTGTAAAGAGCAATTGTAAAAGTGCCCCCCCCAAAAAAAAAAAATTAGAATGGCTCGCAAAAATCAGGGACTCGACGTGTCAATAAGAGCCTTGCCTCGAATATGTATTTTACTGGTCACATTCTCGCATAAAAATTTGTTACCAGCACTCCCAGCAGCATGCAGAATTATGGCACATACTAGAAACTACTGTTTTTGCGAATTTCTCAATTTGGAAAATTTATCACGCGACTAAACTACCCATGCTGTTGAATACAGATGAATCCACCAAATTAGTAAAATATTGCGCCCACCAAATATTTTTATGTCGCAATTTTGCGAAATGTCAAGCCCACCAAGTTTTTTTCCTGCTTACCTGGCATCATGTTAGCACCATTTTAGAAAACTTCTAGTACCCCATTGAGGCTGCCACCAGACATGTGGTACATTTAATAATAACTTGTCAGGCATGCATGATAAATTAAATCTGTACCTCTTCAATCAGCCTTCATGTCCAATTAAGATGCTTTACTTCCAGCATCCATGTCCGACGACGACAGCCTGCCGCCTGAAGTGGATTTTGGAGTTATGAGGCAAGGGGCCATATACGTCCTAGATCCTTATGCCTACGACCCTCCCTTGCCAGCAAGGGAACAACGAGAAAGGAACGAGAGCGAGGAGTCACAAGTCCAGTGAAGTTCATTATTGAATCTGGACGCTTGTCTATGTCAATATTTCATTGCAAGTGATATGTCTAAAAATCGGGGAGAACAGGCAGAGGCATATGCTACAAATACTGTTTTAATCGTCCAAACATATTACATACACCAATATTCATGATCGATAGACATACCAAAGCAAACAACTGAAATAGTTTAGTAAATACAGGGCTGAAACACAAAGGATGCTAAAAATATAATGTTTCGTTACTGTACACTCTTCCAGATGCACCTGTGAAAACTGTCCCCTACAAGAAGGGCAATGCTGCCGCGATGTTCCACGTGTCGCACGGAACTGCTTAGGTCGCTGCATCACTGGAGACGAGCTGTTTGGGCTCGTCTGCTTGGACGAGAGGCTACTCGATATAGCCTACGAGAAGCTGAAAATCTATGAGCCGGCATACTTGGAGCCAGCGGCTAGGGATCGGAACAAGTAAGACCAGCTGTTTAAAACAGATGTTTGAGGCACCACAAATTCAATTTGATATAGCCTGTAATGTGTAGGTAGTAGGACACAATCAGTGTTTAGTTAGGCTAAAAACGTACACCAGCTTGGGGTCATGTGGAGTACGCCACTGTGCATCTGATTCTGACAGAAAGCGCAGTATGCAAATATTTCCATAAAGAAAGTGGCATGTCTCGGGAGCTCTATTTGTGTGTTTGTGTGAGCATGAAATTCGCGTGATTATGTGGGTTTGGTTTAATAACTACAACCAGGACATGCTGCCCACGAGCCAGGAGAGTGTCTAGTGTCTCAAAAGACAAAGAACAACACTGCACACTGCCACAACGAAAGTGATCAACAAGATCGGCACCCTGCTGACCTCAGATCAAACTAAAATATGCGAGCTGGAAGAAAAGCTTGATATTCTTCTAAAAGAGGCTTACCTAAGGGAGATTGACAGAGAAATCGAGCCGTCAATCAAAGCTGAAGCTTTAGAAGAGGAAGTGAGTGGCATGGAAGGGTATGTGGAACTCATGAGCGTAGCCGAAGAAAGAGCAGGTGAAGCGGAAGTTCTGGGAGCACAAAACAAGGAGCAATACAACATCTGGTTCTTTGACACCTGGCAGCAACTCAGGACAGCCCTCATTTAACCATACCTTGACGACAGGCTTCTGAAATTGGAGATCGCGAAATTCGGAGGAGACATTCGATTATGGCCTGGCTTCTGGGGCGAATTGAACACAACGATCCATCAGAACGAGTCTCTTTCCGGCATTGCGAAATATAAGCACATAAAAAGCTACCTCATTGGTAGGGCTGCCGTAGCGATCGAGAAACTCCAACTGACAACCAAAGACTACAAGGTTGCCCTCGACCTTCTTACCCAAAGATTCGGCCAAACGGACCTAATTGTCAAGGATCATGTCGCAGTCGTGGCTGTCCGAGCGGTTCACGACTCCAGAAACATTGAGAGGCTCAACGTTTCGGGGCGTTCACAGCCTCAAAAAAGTTCACAGCCTCGAGGCCGAAGAGAGAATGTATGGAGTGCTGCTCCTAACGCTGTTGCGTAAAACAATACTAGCCGATGTGGGCCTGGAGTACAGCCATAGGGTAAACGCGCATTCAACATACCTGGAGGATGAGCTGCGAGGTTTTTGAGAAATGAGGTGGAATGCCGTGAAAGGATGCCACCGGTAACTGAGGGCATGTATCCGCTGGCGGAGCGACATCGACAGTGCAGAAACCTCGAGTTGCAACGGCGGCGGAGCTTACCACAACAACCGATGCAGACAATAGATACGTGTTTCGTCGCATGGACAATCACGGCCCGGACGCCTGCGCTTCTGGGATGTCGCTGGGAGTCTGAAGAGACGTCCTGCACCGAGAAAACCGCCGTTTCCATTTCACGAAAAGAAGGCACTTATCACGAGAATGCAGAGGCACTAGATGACTGAGCTGTGCACGGTGTGGTGGATGACACGTCACTGTTATGTGCAATCCCAATGTGACACTACGCAGTACACAAGCAGAAAGGACCGCAACCATCATGGTGGTAAAGGAGGTGGCAGAAGGAGCAGTTTTGCAGTCCGTCATCACTCAGAATTCAAGACAACACAATCGGAGCAAGCAAGAACCAGGTGTTCCTGCAAACGGCATATGTGTGGGCCGAAGGTTGCCAGGAGCGCACGCTCCTCAGACATTTTTTTGAATGGTGGCAATCGGCGCACGTTTGTCGGACTTGACATAGCTGAGAGGCTGCAACTCTGCGTGCTGGGTGAAGAGGACTTCAGGATTTTCACCTTCGACGGAAACGCAACAGCCAATCAAGTGATGTGCCGCCAAGTGGAGCTTTGGCTAGAAGTCGGCTTGACAGGAGAGAAGTCCGGGTGGAGGCTCCTGAAATGCCCTGCATCTGCGCTGACCTTGTGATGGCCCCCTCAGATGTTGTGACGACGCAGATGAAGATGGAGGGCAAGAACATTATTGACATCTTACCTGGCAAAGCCGTCGAGGATGACATTGGACTTCTGGTCGGGGCCGATCACTACCGGGATATCGTCACCAGAAGCGTGATGTGCCGAGCCACAAACTGATGGCAGCGGATACGGTATTCAAATGGACCCCGCAGGGCCAGGTCGGAACAACCAAGTCTACGACAATCTTCGTCGGCCACGAGCGTGATGGGGGTCATCGTGAGGGAGGAGACCGACAAAAAAATAACCGCTCAGCTCAGATTCGTTTGGGCACTGGAGCACCTTGGAATCTAAGAACAGCAAACGACAACCTCTCACTATGAAGCCATACTTCAGCATCAGAAACAAAATCATCAAGTACGAAGACTGTCGGTACGAAGTGTCGCTTCAAACGGCCGAGGAACTTACAACCTAGATATGCGGTAAGGCATCTTAGATAGCGAACCACTTGCCTGCTAGAGTGAGCAGATAGTCAAGGATCATTATGCCTGCATCGGAGACTATGTAAAAAAGAGCTATGCCGAACTAGGTAAAAAAGGAAACGGCTCTGCAAGCAGTCGAGCCTACTACATGCCGCACCCGTGTGGTCGTACGTCATGAAAGCAGAACGACCGGATTGAGGGTTGTATTTAACGCATTGTCGAGCGCTGGAGGTCGTTTCTCACTGAACAAAGTTCTGGAAAGCGGGCAGAATTTGAATTTGGAGCTGATCGACCTGCTCATCAAGTTGCGCACTCAGAACATCGGGATCATCACGGACATTCAGAAAGCCTTCCTGCAAGTGTTTCTCTCGAACAACGATCGAAGTGTGGTGCAGTTCCTACGGTGTGAGAGAATGCCGATATGCGGGGAAGAGCTTCAACCAATTGTGTCATATCAGGCGATGCGCGTGTCCTTCAGCATGACGTCGAGCCCCTTTCTCCTAGCTGCAACATTACAGCATCATCTCAAAAACGTGCTAGAGCAGTTCACAAAGACGGCAGACGCCATACGGAGCCAACTGTATATTGATGACCCCGTCACTGGTGTTGATAGTGGACAGGAGGCGAGGGGCCCTATGAAGAAGCAGCGAAAATCTTGAATCAAGCCGGAATATGCGACCTGCAAGTGAATGTCGAATGGCCTCGAACTGGTAGATTTGTTAGAAGATGGAGAGACCCAACACACCGATGCCGACCTTGGACATTCGGGACTCGGAAAGGTCCTGGGAGTGGCCTGGAATCCTCAGACATACCAGTTTGAGTACATGATAAGCTCTCTCATCGATTTCTTGTCATCAAGACTGGACAGCTAGAGGTCCATGCTTTTAGTGTTGGCGATTATCTTTGATCCGTTTGGATTTGTGTGGCTCCTACAACAGCAATCGCCAAGATAATGTTTCAGGGATTGCGGGAGCTCGGAGTCAATTGAGATGACCCCCAGCCGGAGTCTCTGCAGGCTGTGTGGGAGCACTGGTGCAGGGAGCTTCTCTGCATTGGAGACGTGTTTGTCCCCGGAGTGATCACCCGAGATTTTAAAAGCGACAAGATGAAGTCCAAAAGCCTAAAGCGCCGTGCCATACATGGCAACAAAGACTCAGTCGGGGAAAGTGAACACAAGCTTGTTCATGTCCAAATCCGGGGTTGCCCCTCTTAAATACCTTTTGCTGCTCCGACTCAAGATGATGGAAGCCGTAATTGGTGCGCACCTATGCCACAAATTACGAGAGCTCTACACCTGAAAAGTGCTTCCACGCGGCTCTGGGCGGACTCCACAGTGCCAACGTACTGGGTCAAGGGGGCAGCAAACCGACGGAAGCCCTTTGTGGCAAACTGAGTTGCCGAAGTGCAGCAACTGACAGACCCCAAAGATACAAGTTGTGGGGAAAATAAACTAGTCTTGCTCGTTGTTACTGAAATGAAAGGGTGCTGGTTCGCGAGTGTCTCAACTTGATAGTTCAGGTAAAGCAAGTTTTACCGAAATGCTACATAGCATGTACCTTTTTCAGAAAATACAGGTTCACGGCCTACAAGGAGTTTGTATGGTGGATTTGGGGCAGGCTGGGCCGTCGCCGACGTGTCAGGCTCCCATGCTGTGTGGTCTGAAGGATCAGGGAACAGTTTCCGTCGGCCACATACACAGGGTTCCAATACTGCTAAGTCGAGAACCTGGACCTGTGGGCCAGGACGGCGGCTTCCTTGTTTGGCCTCTGGGAAATGCTGCACAGAGACTTCCCTCGTGAGCGGGGAACGTAGGTGGCCTGGGCCTCCTGGTAGGTCCGGACTCCCTCTGCCAGTTCCAGGAAGCAGCCGAACAGCTTCTGGGTGTAGTCTAGGTCAAGAATGATAAGAATTAAGTCACATACATTGTGTCAATAAAAACGTTTGCATTTACCATAGGACGCAGGCTCCATTTTTCGGTTGCCGACCCACTCGCCTTTCCTCGCCTTGGGGAATTTCAGGACAAAGCAGTCCTTGTCATCCTTGGTTGTGGCCTGCTTTCGGTCCCAGTTGGCGTTGTAATGAAGGACAGCAATGGCAGTCCTGTGAAGGCCACGCAAAATAGGCAGAATATGTCCTTAGCATATTTCACCATTCTACAAACATAAAAGGGAACCTCGTTGCCCTAGAATACTTCAAAATCTCAACCTACCGTGCCTCCATGCCCTCCAGACTGAAGTGGCTCGACTTCGGGGTAAATCGTAGCAGCAGGCTGTGAAAGGACTCGAGCCGGTACGTCTGGCCATTTCCAGACAGCTTAGGGATGTCCTTCAGCAGCTGTCGTGACATTACCACCTTTTCGAGGGCGTCGTACGGCTCAGTTCCTGCATTTAGAAACAGCACCAGGTTAAATGGTAAGGATGATGCACACTGTAAATTCCCTGGTATATGTCAACATTACCCTTATGAAGCCACCAGCGTTCTTCAACGATTGGGGCATGCGTGCAAGCAGGGTAGAGCGGGTCGGGATGCTGGTGCACATTGTCCACATGGCGCATCAAGGACATCCACTTGGCCAGCACCAGTGCACCATTGTCATCACTGGTTTGGGCACACCAGTAAACGTGTGCCCGGACAGTCTTGACCCACTTGTTTAGCAGGCTGTTGCGCTTTGTTTTCCCCGCGAGGGCCAGCTTGCTCCCGATGCCTTAAAATTAGAAAAGGTGTGTGCATGGCAAGCAGAGTAACAATGCATTTTGAATGACAATATACATATATGTTCAACAGACTAAAACAAATGGCAGCACCAAGCTAACTAAAAACTAAGTTCAGCATCACTTGTACTACGTAATCCGTTTGGTAAGATAATGCTACCTTTGGCAACATGCCATGCATCGAAACGGTGCTTGGTGTTGGGGTAGTTGCTCTTCATCAGGGCGTTCACCCCAAAGTGGCGGTCCGTGACGAGCACATGCGGGCAGAACCCCCAGCCCTGGAGATGGTCGAAGGAACGTTTGAGGCCCTCGGTTTCCATGTTGTTGCTGGACTTGACTTCTGTTGACTGATGTAAAAAGAAAAGGTAACAAAATCTAGAACACTTGTTCATTTAAAAGCTGAGTTTAATTTATCTATATTTATGAACTGTGACCTCGGAAGGTCTGATGTCTTGGGATGACAAGTAAACGACGGATTTGACATAAAATGAATCCTATAGAGATGGCCACCTATACCCAATTGAGTGAATTTACAAAGCTTGCTATATAAACTGTTCTTTCGTTAATCTCGGGTTAAAAATACTGAATCGCGCATGCTGAATGCAGATTGTAAGGGCATCTTTGCCTAACATATTATAATCTTGCATAACAGTATGTTCAATTTTGAAATCTTTACTACAATGTAGATATACACATTCACAAATTTTCCATTTATTTTCAAATACAGCCGGCACGCGTGCACCATCCCGCTTTGATGTATGCTTTTCTTCCAAGCACGCAATTGCGATATTTATACTTTTCCAAGTCTTTATTGCGGCAGGTTACCCCGTTGAGTGCGCTTCTTACCGAGCACAGATGCAATGCAGAGAAGCGTTACTTGCGGAGCTCGCTTCCGCGGGCATTGCTAGTGCACTGATGCTCGATAAGAAGTGCACTCAACGGAGCTAACCCGCCGCAATCAAGACTTCGAAAAACGCGAATAGTCCAGTTCATGTCGAAGCGAATATCGAATATCGTATCTTTCGAAACTACTATTCAAATATTCGCACAACTCTACATAAAACAATACCCAAACAAATATTCTACTTAGTTATAAACGAAAGGTAACAAGATAAATAACTCAATTGAAGTAGGCAATTTTCTACTTAGCCAGTTCTTACCTGGATAACCTCGAAGTGTAGGATTTTGTTGATGTTTGTTTCCAGCAGCGTGTACGTGCCATACTTCGCCGAGTAGCCGGGAGAATCGGCACGGCCGTCGCCTGCCAGGTGAAGCTTGCTGCCACGCATCGCCGTAAGGAGGGTGGTCTGGTCTTCTTTCCATACCTTTGAAATACAGAAATATAACATCAATCTCAACACAAAGAGATACATGTTTTACCAACAATTCTCTAGGCAGGTGTACTCACCTTTGCAGCGGCAGGGAATACCAGACAGCCTTGAATCAGGAAGAGTTGGCTCTTTTGAAGAACGGCAACACCTACAGAGCTCAGGAGACGAATAACTCGTGTAGGACTGGCCCCAGAGAATGTAATGGCGGCGGGTAGGAGAAGATTCATCAATGCCTTCCCATTAATCCTGGGCTGGCTTTCCCAGACAGTCTTGTGGCCCCTTACACACACAGTCACGGCATGCAGCAAGGTCCCCCGTTCCTTCAAACTTGTATGTGTAGGAGCCAAGCATTCCCTACAGACCGAAAGCAATTGCAGGAGCATTGAAGCGCAGACGATGAACTTACTTTCTTTCACGGGGTTGGTGGTCGTGGTAGAGGTGCTGCACTCTCTGCAAAACAAAACAAGCAGTGCATTTAAAACTTGCTTCAGAAGCTGTGTTTTTTCCATTTCCTCTACGCTTTCGCTCGTTGTTAGGTCAGGGGCTCCGGAACCAGGGGGGCAGTTGCCCCCACAGGTTCTATACCACAGGGGGCATGCCCCCACCCTAAAAGCTGTTCCGACCCCCCCCCCCTCTCACCACCCGTAAGGCTGTTGAAGCAGGCTGCACTCCATAGACGACGAGGTGCCACAAGCTAATCAGTAGTTGGTGACACGTATTATTTCTTTGGAAGCCTTGTTAATCCGTTCGTTTGAAGTTGTCATTCATTGTTTGTCCAATATGTGCGTTCTCACTAATCAATCTCCAAAGATTCTATCAGACTGCAGCCTTCATTTTTCTGCACTGTGCTTCGTCAGTTGCTGTTGATATACCGGGTGATTCAAGGAGACGGCAGGTTCTTTAAATCGACCGGAAAATTCGGTTTCCTAACCTATCGCGCTACGACTTTGTGGAGCGTTGCCCACAGATTGTGCATTGTATTTGTAAAATTTGCAAAGAGCGAACTTACCTGAGGAAAAAGTAAAGAAAGAAAAAGGCTGGAAACGCAGCGACGCCACCGGTCTTCAAACAACACGGCGCCGTTTCGCACGGGACACAAGAGATGGCGCAAACGGTCGCGACGCCAGCTGCCGCCAACGAACGAGCAGACGACGCCGAGAGCCGGCATATTTAGCAGACAAGGAACTGCAGTTCCCTGTTGTTACCGCACCTGTTTTTGTTTTTGCGACTGTCGCCGCCCGCGGAACGCTCGCCGCTTTTGAGTCGAAAAGATTGTCTGCTAAAGAGGCCGGCTCTCGGCGCCGTACGCTCGTTCGTTGCGTCATCTCTTGTGTCCCGTGCGAAACGGCACCGTGTTGTTTGAAGACCGGTGGCGTCGCTGCGTTTCCATAGGAGCTAAGCCTTTTTCTTTCTTTATTTTTTCCTCAGGTAAGTTCGCTCTTCGCAAATTTTACAAAAAAAAAAAGCACCGTATGCGGGTAACGCTGCACAAAGTCGTAGCGCGATAGGTTAGGAAACCGAATTTTCCGGTCGATTTAAAGAGCCTGCCGTCTCCTTGAATCACCCGGTATATATATAAAGAGAGACAGAGAGGTGAACTACATGATGCAACATGAGCCCCCGGATGTTGCCCCCACGCATCAGATATACTTCTGAAGCCCCTGTGTTAGGTGATCATTTAGGACTTAACACTCGAAATCCAGAACATCAAAGCTATATCCTATTTGTAGCATAAAATTATGGTTTCGAGAAGGTACAGTGAGCACATACGCATCAGGTCCTTCATCATCCGAGGTCACGGTGTCGTTCCAGGGACTGGTGTCTGGAGAATCCAGTTCCTCATATGAGTCGATCGAATCATTTGGCCGATAGCTGGTGTCCAGGGCATCGCAGTACATGTCCTCACAGTCGCTCTCCTAATCGCTCATGTCCACAGGATCGGTGTCGGGCTGCGAAGTCTGAGGAGTGCCGTCCAAGTCCAAAGAGCTGGGGACTGTGCCACTAATAGGCGTAGAGCACCGCTGAAGTGGCTGCTCGTGTTGTGCGAAGGTTGCTTCTGCTACACAGTAGGAATAAGCATAGAGACAGTTATTCATTGTTTTGTTCCAATTTCGTGTAAGTGCTCACCCTGAGTTCCTTCTGCTGCTTGTAGATGTCCTGGGGCACTGGTCTCATCTCCCAGGGGACTTGGGCCTGCCACCTCCGAAACGGACTCGTCCTCGGGACGAACACAGCTGTGCAATGCATCTGCAACAAAAGTGCATTGCAAATGAAATTCAGTTATGATCTCTTCTCTCAAATGTAAGCCTATGTAAAGACACTGCATCACATACCGGAGGATGTGGTCGACGCCTGAATTTCAACCGATGTTTGCGAAGGTTTTTCTGTTTGTATGCCTTTGCTGACATACCAAGACTTTGGCGTCTGTGTACCTGGAACATGAAAATCGTGATATTTAGGATACATTCTTTAAAATTCTTACTGTGCAGGCACCTTTTACTAGCCTTTTTGAACATGTCTGGCTCCATGTACTGCATGTGGGTGGCCGATTGACATACACGCACGTAAGTTCATTCGAGCTTGCAACCTGCGACACCACTGAAGTGGCTCGGTCCCTTTCCTGTAAGAGTGGTGCACCAAGTGATAGCATCTGCAGGCACACCAAACACAGCACGTAACAATGTAGGCAGAAATACATACTGGGAGTGGGCATTCTGCTCTAGCTTGATCCACTCGGACGACAGAAGGTCCACTATGCAACGCCTCGTGGGCTCCGTCTTTTTCGGAGGCATCACTGGGCGACGCATTCAAATGCAAAGTTTCCCTTGCTGTGGCTAACGTGCTGTTCTTGCATGTGCGGTCCCTTTCCTGTAAGAGTGGTGAACCAAGTGATAGCAGGCACACCAAACAGCACGTTACAATGTAGGTCAAAATACATACTGAGATTGGGCATTCTGCACTAACTGGATCCACTTGGATGACAGAAGGTCCACTATGTGATGCCTCATGGTCTCGGTCTTTTTCGGAGGCATCATTGGGCGACACATCCAAATGCAGAGTTTCCCTTGCCGTGGCCAATGTGCTTCTCTTGCATGCTCGGTCTCTTTCGTGTAAGAGTGGTGCACCAAGTGATAGCATCTGCAGGCACACCAAACACCACTAACAATGTAGGCCAAAATACATACTATGATTGGGCATTCTACACCAAGTGGATCCAGGTGGAGGCTAGCAGGTTCACTTTGCGACGACAGCGCTTCTGGACCTCTGTCAGAGGCGTCGTCCAGTGTAGTGCCTGCCAGCAAACCATCATGTGCCAAGGTTGTGCTGCTGAGTTGCCTAGCTGTATCTTGGTCTCCACTCTGTGAACGCAATCAAACAATATTTAGTACTCTTCATTTGGCCATGAAACTCAAAATCCTATAAAAGCCTGCTTTATAGGAAGTGCAGAAGCAGTTCAAATAAACTTCAACAGAGACAGTACTAATTCAATGCATTTTCTGTGTGAACTTTTTAGCCATAAAACTATTGAGAATTCCTGTAGATCCCTTATTTGATAAAAGAAATTTCGTAAAACTGGATCTTGAAAACCATATTTTGTTTGGTTTCAAGTGCGGAGTTATTTTTGTTGTTTTCATGACTCAAATGTACCTCAAGAGAAAACGAGGCAAAAGCGATTGTTTGCTCAACAGATTAGCCTTGGGCCTGTTGCCTCATGTACTACAGTGGTATTGCTCGTATAACCTACCCACTTTAGTTTCCTTACATTTAAAAACAATCAGTTTTAGCAAAACTTGGCCGTTTTAGTTTCTCCATATAGCTCATTTTGAAACTCCACAGCTGTTTCACAAGAGGACATTCACTGTGTTTCCTGATTATAGCGCGCATGGTTTTTATAGAACAGGTAAAAACGCATGCCAGACGGTGCGGTTTCAGCGGAAGTGCGAGCGAAGCCAGAGATGAAAAGCGAGCTGCGCTTCCAATCTTGCCGACAATGCGCGCAGTGCGGCAATGCGCGCAGTCATCTCTCGCACTCTGCTGAAACGATGCAACGTGTTGGCGCTTTCGAGAGCACTGAGTACGCACTAATAAGTAACCGACGAATGTACGTACTCGGGTCCGACGACGTTTCACGCATGAGCTGTCTTCGGAAGGTGCTCTGCCAGGGAAGATGGACGGCACGGCGTCTGTCTTCAACTTCGCGTACTTTGTCGAGAAGCCAGTGTCCGCTAATAAACGCAAATCTCGCTCATAGCACTGCGGCAAGAAATGATCGGAGCAGATTAATAACCGGGCCGTCGGCGACAGGGGCTTCTCACAACCCGATCGGTGCACGGCGTCCGTCCACAGTTTCCGACGTTCAGTGTCGGCAGGAAGCGAATGGCAAATAACTCCCGGGCTGCTCAGCTGGCAGCGAGAACAGGCGGCGACACAACATCGCGTGCCCCTGCCTTTCCGCCCTTTACCGGCCATCACACCTAGGCGCCAGGCATCGGAGACAGTCAAAACCGCACACACCACGGCGCAAACTGTAAAAAGGCACGCGGCTCTCTGTTCTCCGCCTGCAGGCCTGCCCGCCTGCATGCGCCGAGCCAGAGGAGCCAGAGCGAGCCAGTGGGCCGAAGCCAGAGCCGAGGCAGCGCAGCGCGCCGGTAGCGCCGGTAGCGGCGGCGGCGCTCCTTAGAAAAGAAAATACCAAGAAAACAAAACGTATGTAACAGACGTCAGCAACGGAAACGGAAATGCATTGTTTGCTGCGCAGCACGTCGCCCGCTAAATTAGCGGATTTTGGTGTCTTCGGGCATCATAGTCTTTGTTGGCCGGTTTAACGGTCTTTTAGATTGTATTACTTTCTAATACTTGACATGCGGTCTCTCTAGAGGATAATAAAGAGAGTTGCATTGTTTTTTCACAGCAGAAAATGAAGTGGAGTTTCCCTTTAATACAAGAACTTTATTATTAGTTTATTTAAAGTGTATCTAGCTTAAACGAATGTCCACAAACCCGTTTTTACCATGCTTAAATTCATTGACCATTAAGAAATATCACAACATTCAATATAATATATCGCTATTTGTAACGGCCTAATGCTCTCATCAAATGAGCTGGCAATCGCGCCGGTGCGTTATCATACTGGTGAACTCATTTATTGAATAAAACTTTTATAAGACATACATCAACATATTTCTGTTTACAAACCGTAGATCCTCTTTTTGTTTTAATTTCATAA